TTGATTTTTTTTGTTCTTACCTCTGTTTAAATATGCATTTTTTTAAATATTTAGCTGTAGATTACCATTTATTATTTATTTAATACTTTGAGCAGAAAGCTCATGTAACACCTTAGTTGTATTTGTGGAAGTAGGCTGTACTTATAGCCCAACAATTTGTATGTGCACACTTTGGTTCCAGATGGCAGCTTTCGTAAAACAGGCCTTAGCACCAGTTCCCAATAAGGGTTGTCAGTATAGCCTCACATTTGTTAAATGTTTTTTTGTGATGTTTCCCAAAGTTCAGCACCTTTGTTGTCGTTTTACATTTATTGCATTTGCAAGGTTTATACCAATTGCAGAGAAATTGTTTTTTTTCCCCTGTGGAAAAGATTTAATCAAACTTTTGCATATAATGGGGAAAACTTGAGTTAAAGATTTAATGCACATGACCTGCTTTTTCATCTGCTTTTGTTCTGCTTTTTTTTTTTACTTCTTATATTTATACTAGGTAACTTTTGAGTGTGGAAAATAAATCTTTAATTTTGAATTTGAGTGTTTCTTGAGATAATAGGTACAGGTGCTGGTCATAAAATTAGAATATCATGAAAAAGTAGATTTATTTCAGTAATTCCATTTAAAAAGTGAAACTTGTATATTATATTCATACATTACATACAAACTCATATATTTCAAATGTTTATTTCGTTTAATTTTGATGATTACAAATGACAACAAATGAAAATCTCAAATTCAGCATATCAGAAAATTAGAATCTTGTGAAAAGGTTCAAAATGGATGGCACCTGGTACCACACTCTAATCAGCTAATTAACTCAAACCACCTGCAAAGGCCTTTAAATGGTCTTTCAGTCTAGTTCTATAGGCTACACAATCATGGGGAAGACTGCTGACTTGACAGTTGTCCAAAAGACGACCATCGACACCTTGCACAAGGAGGGCAAGACATAAAAGCTCATCGCTAAAGAGGCTGGCTGTTCACAGAGCTCTGTGTCCAAGCACATTAATAGAGAGGCGAAGGGAAAGAAAAGATGTGGTCGAAAAAAATGTACAAGCAAGAGAGATAACCGCACCCTGGAGAGGATTGTGAAACAAAACCCATTCAAAAATGTGGGGGAGATTCACAAAGAAAGGACTGCAGCTGGAGTGAGTGCTTCAAGAACCACCACACWCAGACGTATGAAAGACATGGGTTTCTGCTGTCGCATTCCTTGTGTCAAGCCACTCTTGAACCACAGACAGCGTCAGAAGCGTCTTGCCTGGGCTACAGAGAAACAGGACTGGACTGCTGGTGAGTGGTCCAAAGTCATGTTCTCTGATGAAAGTAAATTTTGCATTTCCTTTGGAAATCAAGGTCCCAGAGTTTGGAGGAAAAGAAGAGAGGCACTTCATCCACGTTGCTTGAAGTCCAGTGTAAAGTTTCCACAGTCAGTGATGGTTTGGGGTGCCATGTCATCTGCTGGTGTTGGTCCATTGTGTTTTCTGAGGTCCAGGGTCAACGCAGCCACATACCAGGAAGTTTTAGAGCACTTCATGCTTCCTGCTGCTGACCAACTTTTTGGAGATGCAGATTTCATTTTCCAACAGGACTTGGCACCTGCACACAGTGCCAAAGCTACCAGTACCTGGTTGAAGGACCATGGTATCCCTGTTCTTAATTGGCCAGCAAACTCTCCTGACCTTAACCCCATAGAAAATCTATGGGGTATTGTGAAGAAGAAGATGCAATACACCAGACCCAACAATTCAGAAGAGCTAAAAGCCACTATTAGAGCAACCTGGGCTATCATAACACCTGAGCAGTGCCACAGACTGATCGACTCCATGCCACGCCGCATTGCTGCAGTAATACAGGCCAAAGGAGCCCCAACTAAATACTGAGTGCTGTACATGCTCATACTTTTCATGTTCATACTTTTCAGTTGGCCAACATTTCTATAAATCCTTTGTTTTTATTGGTCTTCAGTAATATTCTAATTTTCTGATATGCTGAATTTGAGGTTTTCATTTGTTGTCATTTGTAATCATCAAAATTAAATGAAATAAACATTTGAAATATATGAGTTTGTATGTAATGTATGAATATAATATACAAGTTTCACTTTTTAAATGGAATTACTGAAATAAATCTACTTTTTCATGATATTCTAATTTTATGACCAGCACCTGTATTATTATAGTTTTGATTCTTTTTTTTCTCTGTTGTAGTCCAAAATCATTGAATGAAAAATGAACACTAAAGTTATCTTTTTTGTTTTAAAATGCTCATTTTGTTATTTGTTGACATTTTTATGCTGCATCTAATAATAGTATTTTTATTTACTTTCATGGATATTTTCTAGGAAAATTGACAATTTATTAGTAATGATTGCCATAGAAAACATTAGTTTTTTAATGGGCTGTCTTTCCTTCCTTTTTATGGGCAAGGCCTGAAAAGTTTTGTTGTGTTGTAGATGTGCTGGTAAAAATTCATGTGGATAAATGGCTCCACGCTGCTTTCAAGTTGCCTTTATGGACATCAGACTGCCACATTAAATTCAAAGACTAAATGGGCAGCATGTTCAGAGTCATATCAGTGAGATACTTTACAGCCTTTTCTTTTCGCCACAGGTGCAAACCCTACCCCAACTGTGGCTCTCTGATTTATCTGGCTTTGCCTGGATCTTATTACTCACTCACCAAGCATGTTTGCTATTGTTTGAAGGAATAATTTGTTGCCATTGTTGAGCACACCTTCTGTCCTCATAAAATAAATCAAAGTCAATTTTACTTTATTAATGTGGACAATGATTGTGTGAAACAACATCTGACCAGTCAGGAAGAGGCCCCACTGGTACACATTGTACTCACAGTGTGAGCTGTGCTTTAGAAAACTTGTGCTCATCACTTTTACAACTCCCGAGTGTTTCTGCTGTTTGTTGAGCCAGACTATCTGCCTTGTTTAAAAACAAAATAGGTACATGCATCTGATGTAAATATGTCATTTATTCCGGAGTTTTAAAGCTCATCTTTTAACGGGTTTTGTCATATTTAAAAGACAAGTGTCACATTTATGTTTCATGGGGACAGAGGTAGGAGAATAAAGTGATTTAAGGTGAATCTGTGTTTCTGACATAGATGAGTTCGTTCAGTATTTCACAAACTCTGATCCTCTAAACTGCATGTGTCAAGGCCCGTGGGCCAAATGTGGCCCATGGGTGACTCCTGTGTGGCCCGCCAGGGGGG